AATTCAGGCTCTTTTTGGGTCTCCTACTTGGGGAGTGATTGTCACTACTCTCAAAGGATCTCTCATGCCATTGAGTAGATAAGCTGAAGAATTAGTGAGAAATCATTTATATTTATTTTATGTAATGAATGCAAACTCTATTTGGAACTTCCATTTCACACTCTATTTTTTCATTCTCTGTCTTTCTTCTCCTTTCCCATATAAATAGACCCTTTCCTGGGTCTATATAATTTTAGTAAATATTCCATTATTAAAATTTCATCTATCCTGATCTCATCATAATTAACAAATTTTCAGAGAATGCAAAAATGCAATTCCAGGCTAGTTAGGCTTTCCACAAATCCACCGTGCTGCTGGGGGAAAAAAAATGGGGAGGGGAGGGGTCTTTCTATTGTTGTATCACATCTACAGAAAAATGTATTTTGTGAAAGAGTGTCAGGCTACAGGAAAACACTTAGAGATTAATGAGAATATCTGTATTCATGTGATTCCTTTGGGCAACGGAGTTATGTATTTAAAAATGAGGCTTTATGTTTAAATTTGTGTAATAGAAGCCACGGGTCAGGAAAGAGCAGGGGAAATGAGACTTTTGATAAAGGGGAATTATAGAAAACTTAGCAAAATAATTGTGGCCAAAAGCCCCTCCACTTGAGTATCTGAGACTCTGGGGTTTTTTTTCAATTTCCCAGGTTTCTAAACAGCATGAGATCTCCTCTGAACTCGAGTTGTTATTGTTTCCAGAAGTAGGAGCTCAGAAGAGTCCGTGGAAGGCAGCTGTAAGGAAAATAGCTGTAGCCCCGTTGAATGAGGAGGGAAGGGACATGAATTCCTGTCCCCTAGCTCCTGGCTTCTGCCTCACCCTCCACTCTCAGACTTCTCTTTGGGACGTATGATGGCCCCAAGATGAGAGATTGACCTTTTGGGGTGACATTTAAAAAACATGAGCTGTACTTGTTCTGTAGCTCCCAGGAGGAATCTGGGTGGCATAGTCAGAGCAGGGCATGGGAAGAGACCTCCTTGGGCCTATTTTTGACTTTGCATCCCTTGCCTGTCCTTGGAAAGTGATTGGTGGCTGCATTTGTGTTTACTGAAGCCCAATAAAGCAGAGGCAATGGGGAAATCCAGAACCTTGGTATTTTGTGAATGAACGATGACACGTCTGTCTGGATTGTGCACCTCAACCTAACCACGACAGTCACTCTCAGCAGTGAACCCCAGAGCTTCCTCTCTTCATCCTGTCACTATTTGTCCTTGCCCCAGAGTTACATGTTCATCAGAAGATGTTCCTTAAGGAAGTCAGGACAAGAAGTACAGGCACACCTAGGATAAGGCTCAGGTTAACAAAAGGGTATCTTTTCCCGCCTGAGCCTAGATCTTGTATTTGCTGAGATGCAGACAGTTGTGGGCTTGTTTGGAAGATATATCCCAGGCCCACCATTCCTGAGGGAGGTGAGCTCCACTGACATGGACACCTACCTGTGCCCTCACATTGGGCAGTGGCAGGGGTTAGGTGTTGTCAGGAGACCTCACTGATGGGGCCAAGACAGGAAAGGAAGAAAATGGCCAATGCCATTTGATAACAGCAGGACTTGCTTTGGGGCACACATTTAAAACCAAATGGGGCTTCCCATAAATACTTGGGATAATTTGCAGAGATTAGAGGTTATATCTTTTTGTGACATAGGGAATACTATTTGTAAGTCATCTGAATACTTTTTTGACTTCGTTAGTTCTCTTGGCTGGAGTACTGGGCCCACTTTAACTCTCTACCTTTACATAGAAATGGTACAAAGGTAATGTCATCTGCTTGCCATTATCTTGCACTGTGCTGACCACCAGGGTTGGTGTGGTTATTTATCTATCAAAGCAAGTGTCTCCTTCCTCCTTGGGTATTCCTCAGTGTCTCAAATCTGAATCCCTTCATCCAAAAGGGAGACTTTCCCTGCCATGATCTTCACATCAAGCAAGGTTCCAGCCGGAAACAGACAGTTCACATATGACAACTTGAGGAGGATTTATTTACAACAAGACTAATTATAAAAAATGTGCAGACAGGCTTCAGAATCTTTCTCAACACAGAGCTCCAAGCAGCCTCTAACAAACTGGCAGAGCTGACAAAAGAGCTGGACCTATTTTCCAGTGTGACTCATGTAGATCACTGCTAGTTGCATCTTCCATAAGAAACAAGAAAGCAAAGGCCATTACATAACAGAAGGTATCCTATGACTGCAATTTTTAAAAAATAGGTTGTAGTAGGATGTAAGGATATACTACCAAAACATGAGTGGAAATGTAGTATCTTTAGGTGCTATGATTGCAGGTAATTTAAAATATTTTTCTGCTTTATATTTTTAAAATTTGTATTTAAAATTTGTATTTTAAATACAAATTTAAATTTAAAATTATGTATTTAAAATTTGTATGTATTTAAAATATTTTTCTGCTTTATGTTTTTAAAGATGTTCCAAATATTCCACAATGACCATGTATTACCTTTATAAAACCTTTTATAAAAACAAAAAATAAACAAGAAAGCAATGGACTACTTATCTAATATTTATATGAAGAAGTTATAGATATGTAGGAGATTCTCATATGCAACAAGTTAAGAGAGGAGGTAAATTCTGAACTGAGAAAGACCCACTTCTCAGCTCCTAAGGCAGGAGGCTAACACATCACTAACTCCACAGTACACATCATGTTCATCTTTTAATTGCCATGCACCCAGCACCTTGTTCAGAACATACAACATGCATGTTCAACAGAACATGTATGTTCAACACATACATCTTGAACCACATAGAATTAAATAAAATGAATACGAAATACTAAATAAACGTTAAACCCATTGGTCTAAATTATGGCTCCTGACTCCTTCAGGGCCTTCTCATTTCCATAGGATGGAAAACAAATGTCCCGTGTTCCCCTGTAGACAGAGGCTGACACTTTGCTCACACTATTTCTTTCCTAATTGCTCAGTGATCTCCCTCATTTCAGTAGAGTTAATATTCACTGAACTCCTTTCAGGGTAAACAGGCTGTCTCTAAAGTCCCAACACGCTCTCTGCACCTCCGTGCCTGCTTCTTCCCCGGGCACCTGTTGGAGCAGCCTCCTCCAGCATCATACGATGCCATCTCGAGCCGTTGTTCTCAAACTGCAGCGCGCGAGTGCATCTCCCGGACAGCTTGAGACAGCACAGGTCGCTGGGCCCCACTCTCAGAGTTTCCGGATCAGGAGGCCTGGAGCCCGATAACTTCATGGTTAAGGGGCTCCCAGGTGATGCTGATCTCCTGGCCCAGGGACCACACTGTAGGACGCACTGACTTAGGATGCTTCACAATCCTGTGTGCATGTTTTGTTTTGTTTCTGGTTTTGTTTTTGAGACCGAGTCTCACTATGTTGCCTAGGCTAGATTGCCGTGGTGTCAGCCTAGCTCGCAGCAACCTCACACTCCTGGGCTCAAGCAATCCTCCTGCCTCAGTCTCCCTAGTAGCTGGGACTACAGCCATGCACCACCATGCCCAGCTAATTTTTTCTCTCTCTATATATATATAAATATATATTTTTTTTTAGTTGTCCAGCTAATTTCTTTCTATTTTTTAGTAGAGATGGGGTCTCGCTCTTGCTCAGGCTGCTCTTGAACTCCTGAGCTCAAACGATCCGCCCACTTTGGCCTCCCAGAGTGCTAGGATTACAGGTGTGAGCCACCACACCCGGCCCCTGTGTGCATATTTGAATTCCCTGAGAAGCTTTAAAAAACAAATAAACACACACATCAGTGCCCGAGCTCTACCTTCCTATATTCTGACTTAATTGGTTAAGAATGTGGCCCAGCCATGGGTAGTTTTTTAAAGATAACACAGATTATTCTAATGTGCTACAGGATTGAGACCTGCTAGCTCAGAATCCGTGGGAAACAGCAGAGATCAGGAAAGTAGACAAAATGCTGTAGGAAGAGGACCAAGGATGGGCTTGAAGTTAGAACTTCAGGATGTTTTTGTTCCCACTAGTCTGATGAAACGTGGTGATGAAGAGTGGTGCTGACACCCTAATTTTGCCTCAGTCTCGGTCTTCTGCCTAACTTCTCACCAGACCACGTTAAACTTGCTGAAGACTCTGACAGAAATTTATTTAAAAATGCATTGTGCTCTTAGGGAGGATATTATTTTTTACCATAGGTACCCAGTAATTACAGCTGGCTATTGGAAAGGAGGGGAGAAAAACAAAGGCTAAATTTTAGTTTTTAAGGTTTGGAGAGAGGCTAATGGCAAAAGATAAAAACAAGATCTGTATTATATGCAATGGTAGAACTTTATTAAATTATCCATGGGCAATCATTCTTGCTGACATTGTTTTTCTACAGAGCTCCAGAAACTGCAGGCCTAGACCAACTTTGGGCATGTGGCGCATGGACGGAAGGGTAGATGGATAAATTAAGCTAAAGGTGACCAAGTCAGTCGTCAGTCATTTTAAAATGGTAGAACATGAGACATTTATTTTTTTTATCCCTGTTCTCCTTAGATTTTGGCGTCACATTGTTTTGCATTCATGTTGACTGGGGCTTCATGCTAAAATAGCCTTGTTGAAATAAGCATGTTCTTTGGTTAACTTCATTTACTATCTTCATTTCTGCTGTAACAACTCAGATACTCCTTCAGAGCAAAACCTTCCTGATTGCTGAGATGGGTTTTCTGTCCAGTAATCCTAACACCAAAAGTGTTCGCTATTTAGGCACTCAGCTTTCTTACCGCTTTGTTTCTTAGCAGGCTTGGTGCCTAGTAACGTACACAGCCCTGTCGTTCCTCTAAAACTGATTTCAACTCAATGCAGCCAGCGATGTGACAGTGTTTTGTCTGGTTCTTACCTCATAGTATCCTGTCTTAGCTAGAGAACCTCTCACACTGGGGCCACAACCTCCAGGAAATAAAGCCAAAAATAGTCTCTTAAGCATAACCTGTGTATCTATTTGAGGTAAGGGACCTTTGTCAAGTTACCAAAAATAGTATTTCATGCTTTTTACTATTTTTAAAAGGGACTTTCACATCTCATTCTCACTCGATCCTCCCAACTGTGCCACACAGCAGGTGGGCCAGATATCATTATGACCATTTGTCACACAGTAAAATTGGGCATGGAGAGTTAAAGTGATGTCATGTTCCCATGTGACTTTCTGGTTCGTGGTGGAGGCAGGCCAGGACGTGGGGCTCGAGGTCCAGTTCATTTCTCCCCCCCGGCTTTGCTTTCTCCTGTAGCCGGGCTGGTTGCTCATAGCTTGAGGGCAATGACAAAGTATTGACTGCAATTCCTAGAAAGAGTTGGGGGCACAGATCAATAATACTAAGAGTAGCTTGCTTAGTTTGCAGAGAGAAAAGGCAAAAGGCCATAGTGCTGAGAAATAAAAGCAGAACTTCTATCTAGCCTTCCCAGTGGGCCCATTTCTGTGGCAGGAACGCCCCTATATAAGCCCAAAATTCTCATCCATCCCCGTGGACACAACTCCATAAAGTATTAATCTATCTAATCACCAAAAAGCTATTAAGCCCCGCCTATGTGCCACTCCCTATACTCAGTATGAGGAACACAAAGATAAGTAAGATGTCATTTATGTCTACGAGGCATCCGTAGCCCACTGAGAAGGGCTTTGTGTGAACAGGTGCCGTCATTGTAATGGGTAAAGTCATTGTCAAGATGGGGCACTCCGCAGAGGGAGCTACTATTTCTGCCTGGTAGAATCAGAGGAGGTGTCTCAGCGCCCCTAACCCATGGATACCCTACAGCGAATGAGGGAATGAAGGTAAACGAGGTATTGGTTCCAATCTGCACTGACGTCACAGGGCATGGTATGGAGTGAGTTTGAGTGCCGTTCTCAGCGCAGCGGCAGCCTGTGGACAGCCGTTAGCAGAGGAGGAAAGCCATCTAGCTATGTCCTCACCTTCTCTCTCCTCCTCCTCCATCCATTCTCACCACCAAAATTCTAGGAAATCCGACGGAGACTGGGAATTAGAGGATCCCCTTTGCCCCACTGCAGAGAGAAAAGAGGCTGAGGTTAGAGAGGAGCACTGGCTTCTTCAGGGTCCCATGCTTGTTAAGCAGTAGACCAACCCAGGCTGGTCACTGGTACCCGTGGTTCTGTCCCCAAGCCACCCTGGGCTTTCATCACACCTGAGACCTGCTGAGGAGCAGGAACTAAGGATGTAATAGGAAGAGGTGAGACTTCTGAAAGCCTGGGGAGGAAAACAGTTCACAAGTAGCTAGAAGTCAGGTGTCACACGATAAAGGTTGAGTGAACTGAGGGCTCTTCAAAGGCCCTTGGGTTAGCCAAGTAAACCATCGGTGACCTTGTCAAGACCTGATTGGGTAGAGCAGGGTTTCTCAGCCTCGGGGCACTGTTCACAGCGTGGACTGCATGATTCTCTGTGGTGGTGGCTGTCCTGGGCATTGCAGGATGTTTAGCAGCAACCCTGGTCTCTACCCCTAGGTGCCAGTAGCATACACCCAATCGTGACAACCAAAAGTGGCTTCAAACTTAGCAAATGTACTCTGGGAGACAAAAGTCACCCCGGGTTGAGAACCAGTGCGGTAGAGTTGTGTGAACAAAAACCAGATCGTGATGAGTTATTGAAGCCTGGAGCTGGGACCTTCCTTGCAGGAGTTCTGGCAGCCAAGAGCAGACAGGTGGAGGTGTGAGCTGGACGAGGGGGTAGGGAGAGGGGGACAGTTTTGTGTGGTGGTGGTGTAGTGGTGGTTTTAATGTGTTGTATTTCTAATGGAAAACACATTCGTTTGCCGTAGGGACAGAACCAGCAAAGAGTGAAAGCTAAAGACAGGGGAAAGTCAAAATGCAGCATTCACAAACATGAGGTGTCTCCAGTTACCAGACTCTGCCAGGCTCTGCAGAGGTTATAGTGAACAAATGAGAAGTTCCTTGTTCAAAAATTATGGAAAATTTCAAAATGGCAGCAGAGCATTTAGCCCCAAGCACAGGGCCCTTCTCTGTGGAGGGAGGAGGGTCCACCTGCTCAGATCTTGTGCCCAGGAAGCCAGCCTGGTGGTGAGTGAGGTAGATGTGGCACACTGGGATACAGAAGACGCAGGAATGTCACCGCACACTGTAGCGCACTTTCAGCACAAGGTTAGTGAACAGAGCAAGCGATATTTAAGCTTAAAGCTGCAATGTTAGGGATTATCATCAGTTAAGCAGACCGGAAGGATGGGAAAGAATGTTATAGCTGTAAGGAAGGGCGTGCAGATCTGGCGGGAACCAAGGGGAGGCGGTTATGTGTAAAGCACAGGATGGGGGCGATTCTTGGCAAGTGGCCAGCTCATGGAGAATCTTCCAGAACATTGAGTGTTTTGATTCTTTCCTGTGGGCACGGAAAGGGCATGCTAAGTTTCAAGCAGGGAGTGGTGTGATCAGATTCACCTTTTAGAAAGACCACACCGTCTGGGCTGGAGGGGAACCAGAGTGGGATAGGCCGGAGGCTGGAGCACCCAGGAGAGATGCTGGTGGCCTGCTTTCCCAGGAGGTGGTGGGGTGGAATGGGAAATGGTTTGGATGTAGGACTTGGTGGTTGATTTGCCATCGAGGGTGAAGTTCAGAGAGGATGATTCCTAATCTTAAGGCTTGGGCGTCTCACTGGGGCAGGATACAAAACTACTTGGGAAAGATTAAATACAGGGGGAAAGAGATGAGTTCATTCATTTGGGACCCTTTAAGTTTGTCTGTAACTCCAGAATATGACTGGAGGTTTAGATTTTGGAATCATCAGCACACTGATGCTAACTGAAGTTATGGGCATTGATGATAACGCCCAAGGAGTGTGTGCGGCATTTGAACTGGTGGGATCTAGTTAAATAGTTACTAAATGAGCGCCTATTATATTCTCCATGCTCTCTTAGGGACTGGAGATGTAGTAACAACCAAAGCCAGACAGAAAAGGCCGGACGCAAATGCCCAGCCCTCATCAATCCACTCGCTCTCAGGGGATAGTTTCCAAAGGAGGTCGAGGGGGTAGAATTCCGTGCTTCTCCCTGTTCCCCTGACCCCACCACGCCCACCCCCACTTGCTCAGTCTCCCTTCTCAGGCACCGTTAGAAGACCCCATCTCCTGCTGCCGTGGGAGGGGGGACCTTGTTTTCTCTCATTCTCCACGAGGACCTTGCACTTCCTCCTTCCGGCTGTCTGAAAATGCAGTTGCCTCCCTCGGGTGCTGAAATGCAGAAAAACCAAAGTTAAGTCTGCTTTTCTTTGTCCTGAAACACAGCTTAAGAAATCCAGACTTCAAAATCAGAGCCCTCAAAACCATAAGCAGTTGTAAATGCTAATGGAAGCTGTGGCCTTGGTGTTCTGGAGCCGGGGGAAGGCTCATTAGCTCTGCGCAGCGGAACTAATCTTTGTGGGCCGCAAGGAGTCTGACCAGCAAAACCTACAAGGCTTCTGTCACTTCTCCGGGGAGACGCTGTGACACGCAGAAACAGTGCTCCTGCTCTGCATATATTTAAAGCATCTTGTGACTGCATTATCTACTAGTCTCCTGTTCCCAAGGTCAAAACCGAAGTGTCCTTTATTTTGGGCTTTCGTTATTGTCTTTTTTTCAGCCTTTTCATGCAAAAAGGAAAGCTCCAGTTTATTTGATTGTTTCTTACGGTCACTAGTATCGATAACATCATTCAGACTGGAAAAGGAGAGGTCCATTCTTAAATTTAAAGAGACTAGAAGGCTCACATATGGCCCTCGATGGCATGTAGCATTTGAACAGGAACCTGGTGATTTTCCAGTTCATGGTAAATGGGGAATCATCTAACCATGCTCTGTGGCAAAGAAGAAATCATTTCAGGCGTGGAGACAATTTTGCTGCTCACGGATATTTTATAAACTAGGGTCACATGTATAATAGAAAAGCTATTTAAAATCGCTTGAAAGTACATTAAACATTTAATTTGGGGTAATTCACTTTCTATAAAAGTTTAACTCCAAAAAATGTTGACTTTGCCACCTAGCAAAATGGTCCTATCTAGATAAATAGGAATTTTAAAAAATGCAATGTTAGTCTTAATCAGACACGATTACTTAAACCCTCTAGCAAGGTGGGGCAAAGGAGACACAACACATTCAGAGGGCATCTTAACCTTGATTCTTAAAGCTAGCAGCTCCTTGGGATTATTCAGTCACTTGACCAATCCGTTATGCTCCGCTCTGCAGCTTTCTATTAGCCAGTACTTAATAGGGGCACAAGATAATCATGAGGTGAACCATGCTTGGTAAAGATGGCAGGACGCCCTGGGGGTACCCCTAAGACTCTGATGACTCGATTTCTGAAGCTGGAGCTTTATCTCTTTGGTTTGTGAATTTGTGTCTTTTCAAAGACAGGTCTCCCAAGCATAGGAGTATTATTTTAAACCAATACAAGTCATCTTCAGTATAGTCCAACTGGAAAGAGTAAGCAAAAACTATCAGTTGGGAACCCCCTTATAATTCCAGTACTGAACGTTGCAAATCTACATGCCACCCTGTCTGCCCTGCTTCCCTCCAGTCCCAGTATTGAGCTGTCCCTCCTCCACTGGGAGAATAAGGCCATCTCTGTCCCTTGGGTCCTCAGCCCTCCTCCTGCCTTCTCAAGACTCCTGCACTAGCAGTGGAGTCTCCCTCCTTGTCATACAGCTTCTCCCCATCACCGCCACTTAGTCTGGGTTCTTTCCATTAAACATGCTCCGTCTTCTCCCACTAAAAAATAAAACCCACTAGACCCTCCTTCAACTCTGTCGCCCCCTTCCAAGCCAGGCTTCGTGGACGAGTCCTCCATATTCCTTATGTCCATTTCCCACTTCTGTTCTCAGTTCTTTCCAACCTGGCAGCTGTCTCCCAGCCCACCGAAGGAGTCCTAGGTGAGGACAGGAATAACCCCATGGTCCTAAACCCAGTGGGCACTTTTTCATCTGACCTCATCTGACCTTCCAGCAGTCCTTAGGACTCTTTGTGGACCACGCCCATCTCCTTACGGTTCACCTGAAGACTGGCACGGGAGATCAAAGGAAAACACACTTCTTTGGGAAACAAAGCACAGCAATTCGAGTACCCCAAATCAGGGCAGCCCTGAAGAGTGTCCCATAGGGGAAGTGCAGGAGAAGCTTTTTATAGGGGATTCTCACAAAAAGTCGTTTTCAGAGGCAGTTCGTTGGCTGGGCAGAAATCCTAAAGCACAAACCCGTTCTGATTGGTCAGTTAATGAGGGTACTCTCAGCTGAAAGTTGCTGAAGGCCCGCGATACTGACGTCAGTTGTTTATCTAAGCCTGTTGGACAGTCTGTGGTCTGACCTTTAGCAGGTGTGCGTGCAATCCTCTCGCAGTTTCCCCACGCCACTTTAGAATGCCTTAGCCTTAGATACTGCATTTTCTTTCACGTTACTTTGCTTCCATGATGTGACATTCTAGTTTTTATCCCGCCTCCAAGAACTGCCCGTCCTCTGACTCCTTGGCAGGTCCATCCTTCTTAATCCATGTATTAAATATTGGAATTCTGCAAGTTTCCATCCTAAGCCCGCTCCCCTTCTCATTCTCTACTCTCTCCATACTTGTGGCTTCATATATCTAAATTGCAGACTAGTCTCAAATGTATAGGACGGGCTTAGACCTCCCCTCTCCACTGAGCTAAATATATCCATCTGCCCACTTAACAACCTCATTTTGAAGTCTCAGAAGCATTCTGACTCAATAGAGTCAAACTCATGGTTTGTTTCCACTCTTACTTCCCCCAAATACCCTGCTTCTCTTGTCCCTGCCTCAATGAATGGCATCCCTGTCCATCCAGTTGCATAAGGTGGGAAACCTAAGAGATGTGTATCTTCTCCACCTGCTTCTTCCTCTCCACCCACATATGCTATCTCCATGGTCTGTCTGCTTGACGTCCCCAGAGCTTGCACATCTGCCACCCCAGCCTTGTCCAAGCCACCACCATCTCCAGGGGTGCCGGCCCCCCAAAGCCTCTGCCTCAGATCGCCCCTCGCCTCCCCCAACCCATTCTCCTTACAACAACCAGTGTGATCTTTTGCTGTTGTAAGTCTGATCGTGTTCATATGCTTCTCCTTTCCCCCATCCTAAAACTTAAACTCTTTTTCAGTGGCTTCCCAATACTCCTAGTAGGAAAAGATCAAAGTCCCGAAGGCAGCTTATGACCCACAGGGTCTGGCCCCTGTCTCCCTTCCCACCATCCTTCTCCCCTTGCCCTCTCTGTCTGCCCAGAGGGAGCCGCCGTCTTCTTCCATCCTTCAGCTCTGGGCACAGTGTCACTTCCTCCGGGAAGCCCTTCCTGACCTCCTGATTTGACCAGATCCCAGGATCCATGCACCAAGTGCCTCGCCGTGGAAGCTCTTCCTGTGGCTACATTTTATACTTAATTCTGTGACTGTTGATTAATGACCACCACCCCCAACCCCCTTCCAGTCTTCTCAGTTCCAGAAGGGCAGGGGCTAGATCTGGTCTTGTTCATTGCTATACCCAGGTGCCTAACACAGAGCCTGGCACAGAGCTGGCACTCAGTAAGTAATCCGTCAGTGAATGAATGAGTTTACATTTGAATATGGCTGAGTCTGTCGCACCCATTTCTAAGAACACATTTTGACAGGAATGAGATAGAGCAAGAGCAATGACATAACTCCAGGGACTCGAGAGAAGAGGGGTCTGAAGAGCGGCATCAAGACAGAACCACAAACCCTTTATGTCCTTCACAATTTTGCCTAGTGCCCGGCCAGCCCCACTTCCACGTATCTGCTGAACGGTTTTTGCCTGACTCCATTCTTGATGGCCCACTGAGATGCCACGAGAACCTATGGTGCCTTCTAAATTGGCAGTGAAAGTCTCAGTCATGTCAAACTGTCTAAAGGCATTCAGACTCAAAAGAAGCGTGACCTCTGAGCATGCTGAGCAGAGCTGGCGGAGTCGGATCCAGTGCACTAGGCATCAGTTTGCAACTTCTGACTAGTATCGCGGTTGTGAGAAACAACATACTGACCTCCCCGAAAGATATCCACATCCTCATCCCCCAATCTGTTAATATGAATACATGACCTCACATGACTAAAGGGACTTTGCAGCAATGATTAAGGACCTTGAGATAAACATGAAACGAACTGACATACATAGAGTGCTTAGATCCATGCCCGAACACCATAGGCATTAAATCAGCAGGATCCAATACATTAATCAAGGCAAGTAGGTTCAGAATGGGGCCGGGACTAGAACCCACATCTCCTAACTCCTACACGATTTAGTGCGTTGTCATTGCAATGCCATTTTCCTACCAACTATCATTTTCATAGTCAAAACAACCAGTTATAATACCCTTCTGGAGGGCTTAGCTACATTTTATGGCTATGGTTAGTGTTGATGTCCTCAGACTCTTTTGAGAGAAATGAAACATAGAGCTCATTTTGAGATCATGTGCGGTTTGACTATAAGGCAGCCTAGTTAACACGAGAATTTTCTCTGGTTAGACTTCAGTCACTCCTGGTTTTGCCCCCTCCAACTATGACGCGTAAGAAAACCAAAAAGGCCAGCACAGAGCCAGGCAGCGTGTCTGGTGACAGAATCCGTGGGCTGCGTAGCCAAAGGCAGTGAGTGAACGTTCTGCAGACACCTGGCAGGAGACTCCAAAGCATTGTCCTGGCCTCCGAGACAAATTTACAGAGTTTCCGCTCAAATTTACAGAGTTTCTCCAAAACTCTAGCTTGCTGTAAAGCCTGGGTGTTATAACCAGCCCATAAAGGAGGCTGTGCCCCCTGTTAGACAAGAAGCAATTTTTCTTAGGGAACACAGACTGACAGGTGAGAAAAGGCTGCTAAGAAGATCATTCAAAGCGGAGTCGGGGAGCCACATTCCAGACCCAGGACACCAGCTTGCTCAGTTGTATAATCACCGCTCTCCTCCTGCGGGGTGAAAATGCTATTTTAGAAAGGACTTAAAGACAACTACGTCCAAATTTAGACCCTCTAATGGTTTGGATTTCCAAACACACAGCTGGTGCATGTCAGTGGGGATAAAGAACCCCTTCGTGGGACCATACAGGAGGGAACGGTAGAGTCTTCTCTCCTCTCACCCTCAATGTGGAGCACTTCTGTGACCAGATTGGCGGGCGCTGTCCCCATGCGCCAAGCAGCTCTCCAGCAGACTTGAACTGGGTGTCTGTCCTATAACAATTCAATCCTGACACTTTCCGCCTGGATAGTGTCAGGTCTCACAGGTTAAGGGCTCAGTCCCACAAGACTGCCCCCCACCAGGCGCCAGTCCTAAGTAGTAGGTTCTCACCTGTACTTCTGACCAACCAGCTATAAATTGGGGTTTCCACAACCCCCTCCTTGGGTTTGATTGATTTGCTAGAGCAGCTCGCAGAACTCAGGGAAACTGTGTTTACCAGTTTATTATAAGGACATTACAAATGGTTACAGATGAAGAGATGGACAGGGCACGGTATGGGGTGGGGAAGAAGCTTCCATGCCCTCTGGGTGCCCACCCTCCCAGCGCTGCCTGTGTTCAGCAACCTGGAAGCACCTCAGCTCTTGTGGTTCAAGAATGTTCATAGAGCTTCCCTTCCAGCCCCCCACGCACCACCTTCCCACGCACCACCCTCCCACGTGAAAGCCACGGCCCTCTAGCCACTTGGTCTTTCAGGTGACCCGCCTGTCCTGTGTTCCCTCATTAGCATAAACTCAGGTGAGACGCAAAGGGACTCATTCTGGATAACAAGGGACACTCCTGCCACTCAAGAAATTCCAAGGATTTTAGGTGCTCTGTGATAGGAACTGACAACAAAGACCAAATATATTTCACTTCATATTACAGGGATGTTTTGAAGGCAAAAAAGGAATGATAAATGTGAAAATGTTCCTATTAATGTAAACTTAAAAATACCTTGGAATATAATTTTCCAACATTTCAGGGTGCTATAGATTTTTGTAGACAGGTATCTGGCCAAAACTCCTTTCTCTGGCATCGAAGCCCATTCCCTATGTATAGGACGTGTGGGGGTGTTTTAAACAGGAGTGTCACAGAAGCAGCTGTTTTCTGACCCAGGGCAATAAAGAGAAAGACAAATGACAACAAGCCTTGGATTTGAAAACAGTCCCTCAGTATCCTGGGAGATTGGTTCCGGGCCCCGCTGGGATACCAAAACCCAAGGATGCACAAATCCCTGATATAAAATGGGGTCGCATTTGCACATCACCTACACACATCTCCTGTATACTTTAAATCATCTCTAGATTACTTATAACACCTAGTACAATGTAAATGCTATGGAAATAGCTGTTAGACTATATTTTGAAATTTGTATTATTTTTATTGTTGTATTGGGTTTTTAAAAAATATTTTCCATCCACCATTGATTGAACGCGTGAACATGGAACCCACAGATACAGAGGGCAGATGGTAGTTATCTTTGGAGGCATCGTGAACTTTATTTTCACTCTAAGATCTCTCTTCAGATCCCATGATGTAAATATCTTGCCCACCATAGACCCCAGTTTCTGATACTCAGGAAGGGACTGCAGGGTCCACAGCTGGGGGGCTCTCTCTGTCTCCCCTTAGGTCCCAGTCTCACACACAGCTCATCACAGTAGGTGAATCGCAAGGCTGTTAAGTAATTACCAAGAACCTCGAAAGTACACGTCTCTGGCCATGCTCGGGCCGCTGAGCTCTTGTGGATTCTTCCTGGAACTTTGTATGCTCTCCTCTCCCGGGATGCCACCCCGTTCTCCGGCTCCCTGGGTCACTAGGTGCCACCCATTGTCTGGCTCCGCCTCCCCACATTGCATCATTGTAGACTCACACCCTGGCTGTGATGTTTCACCTGCCGAGGCCACATGACACACCCGGCGACAGGAGTGTCACTCCTGTGGCTGTGCAGTCGTCATTCCTTGTCTAATGAGGCTGTGGTGGTGAGGGTGGGAGCCAGAAGAAGAGCAGCTATTGTTCCTTGGGCAGACATGCTCTCTCCCATCTCCCCGGGGCCATGGGCCTCTTTATGTTCTCACTGGGTCTGCAGAGAAGTGACGAGAAGCAAGCTTTAGCCTCCAGGGAGGGAGAGAAAGGCGAGAGGCCACGGTCCCCAAGTTGAGAGGCCACAAGGAAAGAAAGGGACTTCTGTGAAGAGAAGAGTGGCCTCTAAGTTGCAGGCCGCTTGCCCGGGGGCACCGGCGGAGTGGGGCTGGGGAGGGGCAGTGCAGGGAGGAAGGCGTGGAGGGGGGTGAGCCCGGCCTGGCATGACGCATGCACGTGCCTTTCCTGGGCTTGAAATTGAGGAACTGCGGAGGCGGCGGTGGCCGGAGTCAGTCTTTCAGAGCACAGGATGGAACAAGAACTCCAGCCACTGACTCTGTCTCTTGTACCTCCAAGGGCCGATGAGATTAATGACCCAAGGAGGGTATGATATGGTCCAAAAACTTTTCCTGGATTTTTTCCGTAGGCGGCTGAGCCAGAGGCCAACTGCAGAGGAACTGGAACAGAGGAACATTTTGAAACGTAAGTGACTGAGCCCAGGGCAATCGCTGGTGGTTTGTGGCGGCTTTTGTTATTATTTAATTGCGGGCCACAAGCTTTCTCCTTTGTGCCTGCGTGGAAACAACCGGGAACCTCTCTGATGGTGGAGGCTTCATCTTTGTGTGTTAGAGCCGCAAAGGCGACCTCCCCGTGGAGAAGGCAAATTGTATTCTACTTCGCTCCTTAGAGGCTCACAGACGGCAAAGCAGAACCTTCCCTTTAGTGAGTTGTAAAGTCAGAGAGAAGCTGAAAAATTAGAGTCAGAGAGCTTACTAGTTAATGATTTTGAGGTCAGGGTCACCCTTCAGCCAAAATTGGCTTAAAAACGGCAAATACGACAGGGATGGCTAAAACAAGGGAAATGGCCATTTGGAAGCTGGGACTAGGAAGCGTGGCCCTGCACCGCAGCTGGCTGCTGTTGATAAAAACCCGACATCCCTTTGAACATGAAATTGAAAGTGTGAGAAAGCATTTCCAAGTGAAAGTGCTTCGTGTCTGAGTCTCGGGATTCCCACCGCCGGCCGGTGGCACTGCCTGAGGAGGCCCCGTTCAGGAGAACTGGCTGCCACTGATGCCGTGACGGGAGAGGCAAGTGGGCCCTTGTTCAGTTCAGGACGCGGAGATATTTAAATATGTATAGAGAATCCACTTGATGCCAGGGAAACAAGAATACAAAATACTAAAAGAAAACAAGTGTTTCGTGGACACCAGTATGCCTCATTCCGACGGTAGGTGTTAAATAATTTAAAAATCAGGCCACTCTGCTCACATCCACTCCATCATTGCTGCCATGCTCACCAGTGCTTTTTTTTTTCAAGATAGTCAACAAATAATATTTTTAGTTTAATGTGTGATCCTTTCTCCCCCACCCCACACCTGTGCTTCTGACTTCTCTCCAGAAAAGAGAAATATAGACTAAGCAGATCTTCTAGAAATGCTATGTTGTGCACACACACCCCAGGCAATCATGCGAAACCTTGGTTTGCGTAGCTGGGCGTTTCCACTTAAACCAAACTAAAATGATTTTACCCCCTGACCGTGCTTGCCACCATCCTGTGACTTGGTTGGCACTGCGAGGTGTGCAGAGGGAGAGTGTGGACTCGAGCTGTGCTGGGTGGCCTGTCGCCACAGCCCCTGTGGGGTGCCCGGCTGCTTGCTTTGCCCTGAGCACCGTCCTGCCTCCACTGCGACAGCCACCGCCTCCCCAGAGCCCAGTGGAAGGTGTTTTCAGGATCGGCCCTCCTCAGGCTCGAGCGTGCCTCACGCATCTCCTACTTCTCTAGGAATATGTGTGTGTGTGTGTGTTTTCTAACCAAAGGGTCCCCTTAAAAGTTTCCAAGCTTAATATTCCATATAATGAAATGAGAGCTTTTTCAGGGGATTTGCATGGTCAGGGAAGCATTTGGCCTGTCTGAGGGCTCCCTGTCTGCCCCAGTTTAATACCTAAGCCTCCATTGCTAGAGAGAAAGAAAAACAGAAAGGTGAATCTTTATTCTAAAATCAGAAGTCAGGTAAACATGCTTCCTTCTCTCTTCACCTCAGCCCACATGCATCACCCCACATGCATCTCCCCCCATGCATCACCCCATGTGCATCACCCCACATGCATCTTCCCACATGCATCACCTCACATGCATCACCCCACATGCATCACCCTACATGCATCACCCCACGTGCATCACCCACATGCATCACCCCACGTGCATCACCCCACATGCATCACCCCACGTGCATCACCCCACATGCATCACCCCACCTGCATCACCCCACATGCATCTCCCCACGTGCATCACCCCATGTGCATCACCCCACGTGCATCTTCCCACGTGCATCACCCCACATGCATCTCCCCACGTGCATCACCCCACGTGCATCACCCCACATGCATCACCCCATGTGCATCACCCCACGTGCATCTCCCCACATGCATCACCCCATGTGCATCACCCCACATGCATCTTCCTACATGCATCACCCCACATGCATCACCCCAAATGCATCATTCCACATGCATCTCCCCACATGCATCACCCCACATGCATCTCCCCACATGCATCACCCCACATGCATCTCCCCACAT